GCAGACATGGATAAGCCAATCAAAAGGCCTACACATGCATCAGCCCATCGAAAGGCCTATACTCAGATCAGCCAATCAAAATGGTTGTACACAGATCAGCCAATCAAAAGGCATATACTCAGATCAGCCAATCAAAAGGCCTATACTCAGATCAGCCAATCAAAAGGCATACATAGATCAGCCAATCAAAAGGCATACATAGATCAGCCAATCAAAGTCCACTCCAATTTACATACCATGATTTGTAATTTCAAATACATTTTCATAAATAGATAACATAGTAAAATGTTTTAAAACATTAAATCAAAATAATTTTCTGCATTAGTGAGAACCTCCCAAGAGAAGGAAAGAAAGGCAGAATCCAGAAAATACTTTCAAAGTTTAACAGATCACTGATCTTTGAACTTTGACCTACTGACCCCAACCCCCAAAATACTGAGCAAGTATTATTTTAAAATGCAAAGCTGAATGGCTCTGGTTAGTGAGAGACTAGCATATCACACAATACAAACAATTTGAGAAAACACAAAATAGTTCCTTCCCTAAAGTAGTTCCTGTAGATTTGTACAGCCATAGTGAAAGGACAGTGGTCGTCACGCAATGCACAGTTCGATATGTGTAAACTACATTGTCTATGTGAAATTAGAACACTTGCTGTGTGACCTCTGACCTTTTAATGAGATAAAGCATCAAATTCAGAACCACAAGTTAAAAAAAAATTTTTAAGGGAGCCTGACAATTATTTGAAAAGTTTCAGTAGTTGCATTTAAAACTGGCAGCCTGACAATAATGTCTGCTAGTTCATGCACATAAATGTGAATACATGAAAATAACCGCACACTCTGTGGAGAACAACTGAAAATTTGTTACTTTGGAATATCAGTGTATTTTTAATTATTTGAAAATCTGAAATTCTAGCCCTAACACAAGACTTGATGGTCTCTGTGTGCACTGTTCATATAGAGCCCTGCAACCAGTATATTAAGTAAGCTATAGAGTAAGAACCATCTGATATGTAGATTATACAGAGTACGGGGCCTTGAATTCTTAATAGGACAGTTTATAAAAATAATATATAATATTTGAATTGAACTTTGTCACAATGTAGCAGTGTTTGATTCAACCAATCAGATCCTGCTATTCAATGTCTTGGAGCTGTTGGCATGGAAACAAAAACAACACAATTGATCCGATTAAGACTGAGTTGATAATTGGCAGGAAGTGAACACTAGTGCACTCTGGGAGTGATGTAGACCAATAGGAAACAACCTTACATCTCCTCACTGCACGGTTACAGGTGGTGTATTTGCAGTTGTCGTGACAACCATTCCAGGTGCTACCGAGGCAGTCGCTACGTTGTTACTCGAGGTCACATTCAATGGCAGTACAGTGGTCGCTATGGTGGATGTATTCGTCATAAGTAGGTTACTGTTGATTGTTGTCATGGCAACAGTGTTAGCGACGGGAGGATGGTGAGTGATGGCATGTTGACGCAATCCTTGGGATGACTTGTAACTTTTTCCACATCTGCATTTGTAGCCTTTTCTTACCTGTAAACATAGTAAAAACATCAGAACCTTGCTCCAAGAAGAAGAAGATAATTTCACATTTTCACAAATACCTTTAAAAATAAATCAAACCATAATTGAACTTGGACAAGATTTCACACTTATTGGTATGATATCTAAGTTTGAAGATGAACGGATAAGAATTAATTCAGATAGTATAATCACAAGAAACAGAAACAGGATGATGTGATATACATTTCCCGAACATACAAGATTACGGAAAAGCTAAAAATAAATGAGAGTGCATTAGCTGAAATGAAGTGGAGCAGATGCTGGTCACATTCTCTGTGTTTGCCAAACCTTTGCAGTAGTTATACTGCCCTCAACGATAATAAGACAAACATGAGACACAGACTGGAGAAACTTTGCAGTGGTGTGTTTGGCCAGCCCATAATCTGGCTTTGTAATTAACATATTTTTTTTATACTGTTGTGTACCGCCAGACAATCATAGTTGTTTTAGTTATTTTATATGCTTGCCAAGTAGGGAATTTCATGTCAACATTTGCTAAAAATAAACAGCTGTGTTGACAATGGCTTGAGTCATTTTCAACCGTCAGTTCTTCAGAGATATCACATTTAACCTTTTCAGAACCAGTTCCTTTTTTTCAGGACAAATTCACAAAATAGTCTGCACTTTCCTTCAGAATATTGGGACAAAAAAATCTAAATATTTTGAAAATTGATTCAAATTTGGACTGTTCGGGTTCATTTCCAAAAATATTGAAGAATATAACAACAAGCAGCCTGTTGGCTGAGATAGCTCCGATGTTAGCAATGCACATTGCAATTAAAGAACAGAAGATATCATTAGAAAATAAACAATATGTAAACAAGTCATTGAAAATGACACAGTCCCCGTTAAATTTT